CCACCAACCTTCTGATTGGGGGACGACCCGCTCCCACAGCCACAGCCACAGCCACAGCCGCCCCGCTTTCCATTGTGTTTGCTCTAGAATTGTCTACAGCACATACTACAGGGTACAAGTGCAATGGCAAAGGGACGAGGGTAGATTTTATTTCTAACAAGGAAGGAATACAATGTTTGATGCACATACTTAAGATAGCAACAGAAACTTGGCCATTACCATTGCCTGGTCTCTCAAAATCTGTGTTTTTAGTCTGCCATTTGTTCTCAGTATTGGTATCTCTATCAGTGGTGCACCTTTACCTCCAGTTTCTCTTTTACTCTAGGAGGTTTTTTGGATCTGTCTCCCTGAGTGGGATGCAGCTGTTAGACCTCTCTGATCTTTGTGTCGTTCTTGAAGGTGAACTGAGGGGTAGACCACAACCCCAGACTCCTCCACAGTCAGGAATAGATGGAGTCGGCCTGGCCTGGCCTGCCTGCCTCGCTTTAGGATCTGAACACACTCTGAAACACTCCCTTCGTCAGTGTCTGGCCTATTAATCTAAACCCGGTGTCATAGATTCTGTCTTCAAGCGTTTATGAAGCTGGGAGACACGGTCTGCTACTTCCTCCGATGACATGAATAGCAAAGCTGTCCTCACACTTAGAAACGAGTGGTGTGTTGCCATTTTTCATTGGAAACAGATGCTTACAGGAGACTGGGATTGATGTCGAGGAGCCATTAAAGTGTTGGTCCCAGTGTTGGTTTAATGGCCAGGCCTGTGGAGTGTGTGTGAGCTATTAATGGGCCAGAGAGAGCTCATTGTCTTCGTTCCGCCTCATTGTGCACTATAGAGTGATCTGCATTTGCTAAATCGTGCTGAAGCTGTAAACTACTCCACTGCAATGTAGTGAACTCCTTTGACAACCATTATGGCTCTCCTCAATTAATAATAGTACCAGCATTGATACAAAGAAATCTGCAACATACCTCAATTATGGATAATTCCAGTTTATTACAACTTATTCTTATAGTTCAGGTAGGCATCAAGGCAATGATGGCTGTGGAATCCCTGCTGTGAAGTCCCAGTGCAGTCAGACCTTCTATAGCGGACCTTGTCACAAGTGAAGCTGGTCTGCTACTGAAAGCACTCTGCTGTTTGACCAGGTGGTCGTTAAGAGGATGTGAGGTGTTTTCCAGTTCCCAGAACAGAGCTGGCCCTTCTGATCAGGTTGTATTGGAAATGTGGTGAGAAATCTGGGAAATGTTAGCACACAGCTAATGATTTATATATTCCGTACTTACCTAATGCTAAGACGAAAAAACAACAAACAAGTCAAAAAAGACATAATACTGTATATGCTGAAAATACATATTTTTTTACTTTTTACAAATCAATTTGTTTATTTGATGAACATAATTTTTGAGAATGTCAAAATCAGTAGACTTTTGCTACCCATTGTGGTTTCTGAGCTCCATCATATATATAAGTTAGTTTGGGTTGGAGGCTTGATGATAGTTGATTGTTGAGTCTTATTCCCAGGGTTCCAAAGCGTCTGTATTTGACGTCCTAGGAATGAGACTTAACAATCAACTATCTTTCTTTCATTGTTGTTCTATTTGCCAAATCTGGGGTCAGACTGTTTTTCTCCCACAGAGGATGCATTTTTTATGAAACAAAACAAACCATGAACATCTGAACTCATTCAGAACTTTGGAAGTCTGAGTAAAAACAGTGCTTACTCTTGTGTCTCCTTGATGCGCTGAAATCCAGAAATCCAGCTTCTTGATCTCCAGCATATCTGATGCATAGTATAGAGATTCTACTTCAGCCCTCTGGCTGGCATCCTCTCCGCTCTCCTTCCCCC